AAAAAAAAAAAAAAAAAAAAAAAAAAGATGGCGAAGACGGTTAAAAAAATGAGCAAGAGCGTAATAAAAGTGTTGATTACTTTTTAATTATTATTATAACAGAAGATTTTGGAACGGTGGAAGTTTTATTATATACACCGCGATCGCTGTTCTACATAATAAACTGTTATACCGTAGTAACGCCATCTGTCGTTAGATAACGAAAACGGATATCGAAACAACTAGAGCATCTCTGAAATATTCTAGTTCTATCGGGAATCCTCTGGAAAATTGTGGACCCATTCGACTAACTATGACTAGCGGATCACCTCACACGTCACAAAAAAGAAAAAGTTAATTGTCATAATAACGATTATCGTAAGTGTAATAATTAAATTGAGTTTCTAATTAGTAATTCGGTGAGGTTTTTATTTGTGAATTCGCACGATATCAACACCCTGTCTATTTCTGCCATAAAGCTGTAAATGCATTTCTGTTTTAAGGGTGAGACAGCCGTTGTACTGTATAAACAAGTCTTTAGAACTTAATATTGGCGGCGGCACTTCAACTACTAATATCTATGGACCTTGGTAATCACTTAATATCACATGGCCGTTTATCTCTCTAAGCTTAAAAAAGCTATACACGTCTGTTATCAAAACACGTCATTACGGATCCTTCCGATCCGCTAACGGTGCTTTTAGGTACCCCAAGGTCACCGTCCTTGCCGAACCCGTCGCTTGCGACGAAGATATCGACGAGTAAATTAACCCATAGACACAGCCCACTGAATTTCTCGCCGGATCTTCTCAGTGGGTCGCGTTTCCGATCCGGTGGTAGATTCTGCGAAACACTGCTCTTGCTAGGGCCAGCGTTAGCAACTCTCCCGGTTTGAGACCCGTGACCTCACCTACATGTCAAGGAGTAGCTGAACTCTCTCAAGGCTATCAGCATAGGTAGGAGAAAAAGTTATCAATACTCTCACATGAAGCGCCGCGTCCGACAGAAGGCGCGCGAGTAGTTTCTAGAAATGCCAGTTACGCATTAGTTGATAGCGACTCACGCTTCAAGATCCTCCAGGCCGTTCTTCCGTTCGAACCTCTTCGTCACTTCACACCCGAACCACACAGCCTCGCCTCCCTGGATGCTGTCCTTAACGGCCCTGGTTGTCGAATAATCATTCATTAATGACAACTGTTTGTATCCATCCTCTGTGGAGGGTAGAAATTTGGAACACCACCTCAGTGTATTAAAAAGTGCCATTGAAAGGGAGCCAATTAAGTTGGCGCCATAGTAGCAAGTGGAAGGATTTGACTTCACTCTGCTTAAAACTGCTATAGTCATATCATTTCCACTTCCTACACTAACCCTATTTCGGTGAGTCTTCCAACAATAGCTTGCTGTTTACAGGTGGATATCTTTTCAATTTGTCTCCTATACAAGATGGTACTCTTTAACTCTAACCCCCATAATATAATAACTTGAGAATGAACAGCAACATTCTACATTATTGTAAAATTACTAGTAATGCCATCCGTTGTCAAAGAGCGAAATCGGATCTCGAAACGACTAGAACTATAGGGAATCTTTTTCTTCTTTTTCCTTACCTTATCCCACTAGGTGGGACCGGCACAGCGAACTTTTCTATTCCATTCTCTTCTATCAGCTGTTATCTCAACACTCACTCTTTCCGCTCTCTCATATCGTCATTCACACACTCCATCCATGTCTTCTTCGGTCGACCTCTTCCCCCTCTACCTTGCACTACCGTTTCCATACATCTCCTAGTCACATGCATCTTCTCTCTACGCATCACGTGTCGATACCACGATAAACGTCCGCTCTTTAATTTGTTAGTTACTAGGGCTATTGGGATGTTCTGGAAAATTTTAGACATGTCGTGTCGACTATACAAGCTGCAGAGACGACATGAAGCGAAACGACGAACGATCGCTTGAAGCAAAGCGAAAAAGTGAATTCTACCTTAAGTGTCATAATAATTAAAACGAGTTTCAATTCGCAATTCGGTGAGTGTTAATATGTATCCCGAGCGCGAAGCAATATATTATTGCTGCACTTTCGAGTGTCTTGCAGCTTTCAGATGCACTTCGAATGAATACCGTTACGACTATAATTGGCTTGAAGCTGTAATGAAAAGTATACTGGCACTAGACCGCCAAACAGGGATCACGCTTTTCTTGGGGTAAGTTTTCGTAAGGGGCATTAACGTTTGGGGGATAATATGTTTCAAAATATACGCTCGAAGGGTAGCAAGTTTAAAGGTATTTTATATATTAATTTAATCCTTGTAATAATAGTAATAACCGGGGACAAGTCAAAAATTCTGCCCTTCAAACTGCACGACTGCTTCGCGACAGCAACAGGTGGCATTTCGGTACTTACCCGTTTGAGCCCACAATGCCCGCTACCATTTGCACTCATTGTGCAATACACTGTACTTCACTACTGGTAGGACGTCTTGTTAGTCTGCACGGGTAGGTACCACCACCCCGCCTATTTCTGCCGTGAAGCAGTAATGCGTTGCGGTTTGAAAGGCGGGGCAGCCGTTGTAACGATACTGAGATCTTAGAACCAAGGTGGGTGGCGGCATTTACGTTGTAGATGTCTGTAGGCTCCGGTGACCACTTAATACCAGAACATTTACGCACATCTAAGCAATTAAAAAATAAAAGCCTAAAGCATGGGTATCCATGACAACATCAAACACCCTGTACGTCACTTACTTGATCAAAACCTCGATGGGCTGATTGTTATAAACAGTTGTACGACCTCCGACCATATTACCGAGATACTGTAGCGTATATAAATGACCATACGGATTGTTCTCTCGTGGATCGTTCACTATGCACACCTGAAATTTTAATGATAACATGGTCAACACCAAATTTAACTTTGATTGCAAAGCATAAAATTTCGATATTTTAGATCGTAATTAGACGAAAAAAAAATACATGGCATGAAACAGTTTGCTTTTGAACTGCTTTAATAAATTGACCACATATGAAACAAAATGCATCAGCATCGTATTTACACTTTCGTGACATTTTAAGTTTTTCTGGGCTTGTACAAAACACCTGACCGTTGTTTATGACTCGAGTGCCATCTAGTGGCACTGTGTGAACGTAAACACCCCACTCTCATAGCGCAGTTTTTTTGAAAGTATTAAAATTAATTAAAATTAAAAAAAATATTGAAAAATGAGTATTATTACTATAACTATCACAAAAGCAAACTTTATACCAAAAAAAGGTATTTTATTTTCGTTTTTGTGAATAATTAACCTGACAAACTTAGTATAAACGTCAGAACAACGAATTTTTTTTGTAGAGTTGTGTAGTCAGAGCCTTGAAAATGCTATACTTTAAGACAAATATTTTTTTGTATGGAAACTATCGACATCTTGTAGCGGATGCCCCTAAACTAATATGTTGTTAAAGTTAAGGCATTTAATTATTGTATAACTAAACACAGAAAATAAAAAAAAACATACAAGTCTTTAATAGACAAATTGATTAAATTTTATCAATTGGTGGTTTCTGAAAATTGACAAAATCCTTCATTAAAAATAAAATATAGGATAGGTAATAATGTTACTGCCATCTACAGGAGCAACGAGAAACTAATCGAAGCGAAGCCATCTAGTGGCCGACACCCGTATACATTTTTGTTGAGTGCTTGAGTTGCTTCTCTATAACTAATATATGTGTATTATCTATGATGATAATATTATGAATGGATGATAGTTTAATACTGCTCAGAAAAATGAGGGGGGAGGGGTGTGGGAGGTGACGCGGAATGTATGTGGCACTAATAGTTATTTATTTATTTATTTAATATATTTTGTACACACAGCTGTTAGAAAAGACACGTCAATAAGGATACAGAGTACAAGGGCACTACTTATTTCATGCTGAAATCTCTTCCAGTAGGCCCGCAAAAGGAAAGAAGAATTAGGAACACAAACCTAGTGCATACAGTAAACATTACATATAATAATATATACATATAACAAGATACAAAACNGATCTTCTCAGCGGGTCGCGATTCCGATCCGGTAGTAGATTCATTCGCGAAACAATTGCTCTTGAGTTGTTAGGTCTCCTTCGGAGGCGCTCGGGCAGTTGTTAGCAAATCCCACCCCTCTTGGCTGAGCCTTTGCTCGCCCACCTGTCCTGGTGAAACTGGAAAGGCCTTCGGGCCACCAGTAAACTTTCAATCATTTACGTATAGGGACAATAGTTTCTCGATAGGGCTGGCTATTTACTTCTTAGGTGGGTACCTAACTTTAGGTAATTAACTTTTTAATATCTTTAATGAGTTACAAATTTTTGATGACTAAATTAAATTATTTAGTATTCTTAAATATTAAATAAAAGCCATTTTCAGTTTAATGTTAAATATAACAACTCAACAAGAGTATTGTGACATCCCTGATTTGTCTCTATTTTAACTCTAGTGTCCCTATTCCCCCCAATTTCCTGTAACAATGATTTATTTTCTCTGAATTTATACCGACTTCATAACATAACCTTTGGAGCCGAAGAATTCGATTGGCGATTACTTATGCGTGCGTTAATTGTTCAGCTGGAAAAGATGGATCTCTGTCGCTAATGTAAAGATTAATTAGACTGGCAGAATCGGTGATCTAGTAGTTACACCGAGAGCCGTGTTTTCGATTTCCCACGTCGAACAAACATTTGTGGCGTGGTGTTGGTTCAGTCACGCGCATGCGCGACCCAAAAAATCTAGGAGGCCATGATCGCCGCCATTACAACAAAAAAGCACTGTACATTTTTACACGAAGTAAACATTTTATTTTATTTAGAGCCGCTTTTATTTAAGCGTCCTAAGCATTCGTGTGATGAGCAGGTTTGTTTGGTCTTCATCTGGGTGTTTATTATCTATAAATGTGTATATTTAAAAGTGTATAACTATGTATGTCAGTCTCTGGTACCCATAGCACAGGGAATCCTAATTTGGGGCCGGACGACCGTGTATGATTTGTTCCCAGTTATTATTATTAAGGACTTCAGAATGTTAATGAATCAGGTTTGTAAACTATTCCGAAGAGGACGGAGGACTACATAAAGATCTCCTAAGCTGGGATTAGGTTTTAAATCCGCATGGGTAGTGAACCAGGCCAGCTTGCTTATTTCTGCCGGGAAGCAGTAATGCGTTTCGGTTTGAAAGGGCAGCCGTTGTACCTAACTATACTGAGACCTTAGAACCCATATCTCAAGGTGGGTGGCGGCATTTACGTTGTATATGTCTATGGGCTCCAGTAACCACTGAACACCCATCTAAGCAATAAAAAAATTAAAAAAGGCGTCTTGAGTTCATTTGGATGGCGGCAGTCAGTTTTAAATTATGATTTAGAGTTAACGATAGTTACCTATGATAAAGGAAAATAAAATATGGACTCAAAAAATAAAAATAAAAAACAAAAAGACAAAACTTACATAGTTTATTTATATTAATAAAAAATTGGTCGCATTTATTGCAAACCAAGCCAGACGCAACAGAAGTTTGTTACGAAACTCTATTATGTATCTAAATAAACAATGGGTTTTGGTAACTCGGCTGAACACAAAAAGTAAAATGTAACGTTTATTCATGATTCTTCTGTAGACACATTTATCAAACAGATTAGAACAACATCTGAGATTCTCAAAAGTAGTTTTGGCGACAAAGGCAAACTTCAAACGATACGGTAATGATTTTTAATATTGACCTAACTAACGTGTATGTTCTTTTTAACTATTAACGTTAAGAAGAAACACAATGTAATATTTAGCTCTATTACGATACAGAGGGGTGAAATCCCTCAATTATAAAAAATATATATATATTTATAGCACAAGCATAATTTTAAGGATTCATTCCCAAAGTAAAGTTATTAATGAAAATTAAAGTGAATACTGCCTCATTCTCCTATATTGAAAATGTTTTCGACACGAATGAATAGTATTAAAAAAAAACAGATTAGTGTAAGTTAATATTGACGCTGCGTACATATTCTTGTGAAGGTGTTGCCATATTTCTTTATAATCGACTTTATTTTTTTACTTGTCGAATACAATAGCATGAGTTTTAATATGATTTATACACACGAAATAATAATTATCATTATTAAACCACAGTTATAACACGTTTAAACTTGAAGTAATACAAAATTAATAGAATAAAACAATTCATAAAGCTTCAGTTGTCGCGTTCGTGCCAAAAACAACGACTACCCATGGTAAGTTTTTTTTATTTTTTATTGCTTAGATGGGTGGACGAGCTCACAGCCCACCTGGAGTCAAATGGTTACTGGAGCACATAGACAATCTACAACGTAAATGCCGCCACCCACCTTGAGATATGAGTTCTAAGGTCTCAGTATAGTTACAACGGCTACTCCACCCTTCAAACCGAAACGCATTATTGCTTCACGGCAGAAATAGGCAAGGCGGTGATACCTGCCCGTGCGGACTCACAAGAGGTCCTACCAGCAGTAAAAGTCAGTCGCCAGTCGTGGCGGCATTACATTAATCTCAACAGTACATAACGTCAAGGCTGTCTAGATAACAGTCCCATGGTTACTTTTCACGCGGCCCGCGACGCATGTTTTAATAAATTTTTATTAAATGTTTTGAAATAAAAATCCACGACATTATTTAAAAGGGATTATTATTAGGGGATTTCCCGGAAAGTATTTATTATTACCCTGTTTTTTTTTAAAGTTGAAAAAACTATTTTTTTGAGGTTCTCCAGCATTTGAATTAAATTTAATTAGCCTGTAAAGGTGTACTATAGTTTGGACAGCCCTGCGGAATGTGATTGCCCAGTGAACAATACTGGTTTCACTGGTGGTAGAACCTCTTGTGAGTCCGCGCGGGTAGGCACCTTGCCTATTTCTGCCGTGAAGCAGTAATGCGTTTCGGTTTGAAGGGTGGGGCAGCCGTTGTAACTATACTGAGACCTTAGAACTTATATCTCAAGGAGGGTGGCGACATTTACGTTGTAGATGTCTATGGGCTCCGGTAACCACTTAACACCGGATGGACTATGAGCTCGTCCACCCATTAAGCCATATATGTGGCGGCGCTAGTCGCGTTGCTAGTCGTCCGCGCAGAGCGGGCACGCCAGCGTCCCCATGGGGTCCCAGGCCGGTAATTCCACTAATTCTTGTTTGAACACATCTAGAACTTCTTTCGACACGTACTTCTTGTCTACAACGACCTAGAATATAATAAAATTAATTTAAAAAGAAAAAAATATATAACGAAATAAAGTTTAAATTGTAAAAAGTATATATCGACGCTTGAAAGGCAAACATGACTAAGTGACAATAACTGCTTTGTACATAAATGATAGGCAATAACCATATTCGATGCGCAAAAAATATATATTTCTAGGTCTATTAAAATCATTTCAATCCTACAGCTACTAGCTAGATTCTACTACAGCTAGTTAAAATAAATTTTGTTTTCAGGTATTTCAACTTTAAATTAGTCTACTGTAAAGTTCACGCATTGTCGCTTAATCAAGTTTGCCTTTCAAGCGTTGTTATTATCTATATCGCGTTTCTTCTATTAGTTTTCGTGGCCGAAAGATAATGGTTTTTATTATTATATTGACGACGAAATTATTAATCAATTTTTTCAGCCGACAAAAAAAATTATCATTCGACTGTATGTGTTTAACTTCAGAATACTATAATTTTTTTTTTGTCGTTTCTTGCCGGTATCTGCGTAAAGATATAAATGGATCTTTTTGTGTTTTATTGTACAAAATGTAAATATGTAATGTAATGTAATATCACTGGTGGTAGGACCTCTTGGGAGTCGGCACGGGTAGGTACCACCG